AGCAAGTGTGTGACCTCAATCTCTCCTTCGTCTGTTTTGTCTGCTTTTCGCTTAGCTCTTTAAATTCCAACACAGTTGGTAGTTAACCTACATCAAGGCCCCAAATTTTGTTCTAGATGAGGAGCTATACGAACATGGACACACAGGCTGGTGGCGGCAGTTTCTGCAGAAAATATGTGGATGATTAAGAGCTCCTGTGATTTTATATGGCCTGATTCTTAGATCCTCCCCATGCAAGTCTCTTTCATATCTAAATACTCTCTGTGCACGGGGAGGTAGGCTGCAGAGAGAGGTCAAGCAGAGGGAAAGTGCTTCTTTAAAAGGATATTTGCAATTTAAAAATCAGTGAGATTATCCCATAAAATGCTATTACTTAGAAAAAAGTCTCTCCCACTAATTACAGAAGGTTCATTTATATTACTGTGCTCCAGTTTGTGTAGATGCATTCACATAAATAAGTGTGTTCAAATATGTATTTATAACTTTTTTAAAGTGGAAAAGCCCAGAGTACTACATGTGTTCTTCTAGTTTTACAGTACTGATGCCCCACGAGGCATCTGCAATGACATCCACAAAAATCTAAATAGCATGTGGCTGCATTTCTTTTCTTCTTCAAATTTTCCAAGGTCAGAGCTGAAGAAACTTTTCTAAGGTTGCAACATCATGGCTATTTAAAGAAGCTGCACTCTAAAGAATGAAGGCTGTCCTTCAACATCTAGATATAGGATGGAACCCATGAACTTGGCAGTCCCAAGGAATGCCATGACTGGACAGCACCCACCAGCTGCGGAGGGCAGGAGGCTAAACCCTTCTTTAGGCTTCATGTCCTGGGGCAAAGTTCCATCAGGGTCCTTGGTAGCAAGCGCTTCTTAACCCTTGTAGACTGTTGGTCCAGGACTTGAGTGTGTGAACAAGGGCGTGTGCTTGGGGGCCAGATCCAATTTCAGAGGTGAACACCCACTCACAGGAAGCAAGCCCCTGCACATCTCAGTGTGCAAGTTCAGGTCTGTACTGCCTACCACGCAACCCTCAGAACTGCTTCCTCTGGCTTGCCTTTGGGGCCACTTCCCTTACTCCTGCTTTTGACAAGGTTGTGCTGAATGGCTTTCCTTTTACTCCTAAATTGTGGCTTTAAAAAAAAAAAAAAAAAACTTAGAAATTACAGCTGGGAAAAGACTGTTGTTTGTCTAGTCTCAGCAGGAATGCTCCCCATAGACTATCTCCTTTAGTTCTTAAGACAAATCACACTGTATCAGTGTTCTGGTTAAAAGCCAGCCTCAACCTACTGCTGTGCCAACACTTGGCACACATCTGCCTGCCTGGCCACTTGGGAATGTGTAGGGGCATGCTGCAAACAACCTGGTAACCTTGACTCTGAGTGGCAAAGATGATCCTGACCTTCTAAGAGGGCCTGGAACTTTAAGAAGGAGGGCAGAGTCTACGTGACTAAAACATACCAACTTCCTCTTTCATAAGTCATCACATGATGAGCTACAATTACAATTCCTGCCTTGTCTCTGCGAATTGCAGACGCATTGCCTCACCCTGGAAACCGTGCTCCTGTGTGGAGGAGGTGGCTCTAACTGCTGCAGCAGCGGGCTCTGGCTGGACTCCAACTCCAGTCTGCTCTGAGAGAGAGGGCAATGGGTGGGAGACAAAAACAAAGCTATGTTTACTTAGCATACATCGATAAAGCTGCTTCAGAGCTACATGAAAGGCTAGGCAGCATGAAAGACTTTTGATACAATATAAGGAATTGCTGCCCCGGATCCAAGGCCTGCCTTAACCCCCTGGGGATCCTTTTATGGCAAGGGAGCCCAGGGCTAAAACTGCCTTTCCATTTTTCAACAGGCATTTCAGGAGGGAAGTGCCAACAGTTTCGACATTAGGCTGGCAGTGTGAAGTAAAAAGGAAACGCTCTTCTTTTGGAGAAACAAAGTTCTGTTCTATAAAGATCCTTAGTGTCTCTCAAGAGCACACACTGTCTCTCAGAATTCTATTTTGGAATGAAGTGGCAGGCTCTTCCTTGAGGGCATCCAATGCCCGCTCCCAGGTAAATGAATATAAATAGGCCACGGTTCTCGTGAGTTGTATTTTCTTTTTAATATGTTCCAGTTCTTGCTTAGTGGGGCCATCTCTCCGGGGCATTGAACTGTCTCATCCCTCTGCAGCAAAAGGACTGGTCGACTTCACGCCCTTTTGCCCAGCAGCCAGATGGGTGAAGTCATGCGCTGGAACGAATGCCACAGGGCCTCGGAGGGGAGTGACCATAAGCACAGGTCCTGGAGCAGGGGCCGGGAGTGCCCAAATCCGATGGCACAGGCTGCCGTTCTCCCTGCTTGGGGAGGGTAAAGCGGGATTGCAATTGCAAGACAAGATTAGGGACAGATGGGGAGGCCCTGGCAGCAGGCGTACCCGCTCTGGAAACCCCCAGAAGATACTCGAGGTTGGCCTGTGAACACACACTCGGGCCCCGTGTTGTTTCCTGTGCCTTTTCGAACAGGTTTTTTCGTGTGCTCTAAGCAGCTGCCTCTACTGTTTCTCTACAGGCGTGTTTCCTCTTGCGGTTAATCCTTTGAAGCAACCTGGTATTTTCAATAGCAGCAACCGGAGAGAAACGTCAGCAGGATTTTTTTTCTCCTTCTCCACCTACCAATCCAGTTGTAGGAACAATAATATAATTAGTACCCTGTTCTTCCCACACTCAACCAGATCATTCCAGTCTAAGGGAGAGGAGTGGGCTTGTGTTCCCAATAAGAGCAGCTTCAGAGCCGTCCCGACGGAACGGAAGTGTCCGCATCCCATTTAAGAGCAACCAGCCCTGGGCACCCGCAGTTCCTCCTGCGGATGCAAGAAGGGATTTCGGCGCTCACTCCGATTCGAGCAGTCTATGATGTCCGCAGCAAACGGGCCTGCGCCCATTGGTCTAAACCAGGCCGGGGGGAACCTATGCGCGCGCAGGTCCGGGTAGACTGCCAGGTCTCGCCCTAGCCTCCGGCTCGCTAATCCAATCAGCGGGCGGCGGGGGCGGGGCCTGGGGGCGGAGCCTACAGGCGGGAGTAAAGGGGCGGAGCGTGCGACTTGACGCCACGCCGCCGCAGACCCCGGATCTGTGGAAGGTGTGCGGCCAGGCCCCGCGGCGTAGGCACGTCTGCGCGGAGCGTGCGCACTAGCGGCGTCCTCGAGCACACGTCACGCGCTCGCGTGGCTCTATATAAAGCGGTGGGGCGGCAGCACCGGAGGCCCGACAGGGAGGGCTACGTGAAGTCTTGTGTGAGTGCCCATTGAGTGTCACATATTCTCAGTTGCCGCAATTTAAAGGGGCAATGGCCACGTGTGCCTTTCGAACCAAGTTCGTGTTTTTCACCTAACCTGTGAAAGCACATGCCCAAGCACGACTGCAGGAAAAGCCCAAACCACGCTAGACCCCGAACCCCTGCTCCTTACATTGGCAGAAACCAAGTGATGCAATGGTTTTGCGTGAAGATGCAGTCTTAGCAAGAGTCAACACAGAGGAAGCCAACAGGCAGCAAACGCTGGCGGAGTGGACGCCAGCAACAGGAGGGGCGCGCAGAGACCTGCGGCCAACCGGAGCGTTGCGGAGGCCCCCCCCGCGGGGGCGGGG